AACTGGTGCTGCTTGACTTCTATCATAGTTCTGTTGAGCTGCAACCAGCGTCCAAAGGCGTGCTGAGGCCCTGAGCCAACCAAGTAAGAACAGCCACACACAGGCTATGACACAGCCTAAAACGTCCCACTGTTGTACAACCCTCTGCAATGCCATAGCTGGAGGCAGTGCTGGAGAATAAGAATGGTATAAACAGGACACCTTTATCTAATCCTAGATACTCAGCAATTCTTTACAGTAGTAGTGAGGGAGCTACAGCAGGGGATTAAAAGTCCTGTGTAGACAATGTTAAACACCAAAATAATGAAGTGTGATTGTGGCCCTAGCATAACCGTAGCTGTGCCTGCTGGATTACATTATCACATAATGGACCCAAATGTGCTGATCTACTCTATCATCCTTTTGTAGTGTTGGCAGGTAAAATCCCTTTGGTATTTATTTGTATTATTCCTTTCTATCTAATTACTGTTTCAACTTTCCTGAAACATTCTCCTCTCTCAGCCAGCATCAATCTTCCTATGACAGTGAAATTTTTGTGCAGTCTGCACCAAATCTGCCAGTGGTGGTAATATCAATGTTAAACCACCCTCTGCTACTGTACAGAATTCTGCATATAGGCATAAAGTTTCTTCTCTTTTCTGTTAAAGGGCACAGTTTGCTCCCTGGCAGTGGACTGATGAGGCTACAGGCTTGCTGCACACCTGCACAAAAACACCCCTGGTGTTGCTGTGGGAGTATGGCATGCTTCCCTACTCCTGCTCTCTGGTCCCAATCTCAGAAATACATTTCCACCTCCAAAGGGCCCACTTGATGGGTTAAACACTGGAATAGGGTTAAACGCTGGAATAAATTGCCTAGGGAGGCTGTGGAATCTCCATCTCTGGAGATATTTAAGAGTAGGTTAGATAAATGTCTATCAGGGATGGTCTAGACAGTATTTGGTCCTGCCATGAGGGCAGGGGACTGGACTCGATGACCTCTCGAGGTCCCTTCCAGTCCTAGAATCTATGAGGAAGTGGGTCATAGGTGTAAGGAAACTTCTGAAACCCACTAGTGGGCTGAGAGGGGCTGTAGAGCTGCTCTGTTCCTGCTGTGTAAAATCCAAGGGTGAGGCTGGGATTTCAAAGGGTGCTTAGATGCAAGGGCCAGATGTGCTGGAATTGAGGGTGCTGCCACACCCCCGGGGGGTTGAAGTAGTTTCCATTATATGCAGGGTTTACCGTTTGGTTCAATGGCTCTCAGCACCCCCACTGTCAACCTGTGGAACTCTTTGCCAGAGGATGTTGTGAAGGCCAAGACTATAACAGGGTTAAAAAAAGAACTAGATAAATTCCTGGAGGATACAGGGCTAGTAGCCAGGCTGGGCAGGGATGGTGTCCCTAGCCTCTGGGTGCCAGAAGCTGGGAATGGGCGACAGGGGATGGGTCACTTGGTGATTCCCTGTGCTGTTCATCCCCTCTGGGTGCCTGGCACTGGCCATGGCCGGAGGACAGGACCCTGGGCTGGATGGACCCTGGGTCTGACCCGGTCTGGCCGTTCTCTGAACAAACTGTTCCCGGGCCCCCGGCTGCGGCCGCGGGGAACCGGAACCCGCAGGCCCCGACCTGCCGGGCACAGACTGGCCCCGGGCCCGCGCGGTTCGGGGCCCCGCTCCCCAGGCCCTGGCCGGCGGGGCTCCCCGGGCCTGCGGCGCCGGGGCGGGGACCCACGGGCTGCACCTGCCGGCGGGGGCGGGGAGCCGGGGCGGGGCCGGCCCGCCCCCAGCCGGAGGCGCTTTTGGTTCCGCTTTGCCCCGGGCCCGAGCGGGCCTGGCTCGGCTGCTGCCGCCGCGGGCCTGGAGGAGCCGCCGCCGGGGTAAGAGACCGGGCCTGGCCCCTGGCCGGCCGCGGGGCGGGGGAGGATCCCGGGGGGACCTGAGCGGCCCGGCCGCCCCCCGGAAACTGGCCGCCCCTTGCCCTGGTTTCGCCTCCGTCCCCAACGTACCCCCGTCCCAGGCCCAGCCAGCCATGGGGGCCCTGCCCCGTGTGGG